GGACTGGCACAAGTCGATTTTCTTCTCAGCATGAAAAGGCACTCAACAAAACAAGAGCCACGCGCGAATATTGCTCAGCGGGAATGGCCTTTTCGCAAAGGCATCCACTACAAAGGAAAATCACCTAATCACCCATGCTGGGTAAAAGGGATGGCTTAGACATAGATCGAAAGAGAACGCGACGACCTGCGTCGGAGCTACAGAATGGAGAGCAGGGCAGGCAGGAGTGAGCACCACCGCCAGCAACTACGACTGCACAGACGCTTTCGTGAGCAAAAAACGCAACCTCCTGCTGGCATCAGTGTTCGCCATGCCGACAGAGGAGGACCTACCATTCGCTGTCGAGGCGCTGCACTACACGTCAATGAGTATAGAGTGCGCAGACGACTGGCTGCATACAAGGACTACGCGGGGTGTGCTACTGTTGAGAAGAATGGCAGGACGCAGGACGGGCCAGGTAGGAGCAGACGGCACGACCAGGTCTACGCCAGCAAAGAGATTTTCAAGTGATCGAGGACACAGCGCTGCTCGGCAGTGCGCAGGATACGCAGGCTACGGTGGTACAAACAATGGGAAAAATATCAAGAGAACTTTGGCAGCGTCTTGGCGGCAGTTTTTGGCGCGTCGAAGCTGGGCAGCCTCTGCAAAATCAGGAGATTGGAACATGGAAGGGCTTGCGAGGCATCTACGCCCTGGGCGGTGCAGGTAGCCAGGAATTTCCCAGCGATGGCGGAGGTCAGCGAGGACGTCGGAAGTTGGCACCGGCGGAGGCAATCAGACAACTCAATGTTCAAGAAGGGCACAAGAGATGGGGAAGCTCGGATTGGGACGGATCCCAGCATCCTACGCCACACTGAAGAGGCCGGGGACACACTGCTGCCAAAAATCAGTGGTGGGAGGCGAAGTGGCGGCTCAGCTCTGGCGTGACCGGGCAACTGGGACAGAGGGGCAGGCGCGCGGAGCGCAATTGACTAAGGCGGCGGCGCTGGCAGGGCACAGGAGAGTGGAGCGCAGCAGTCTCCCGCTGATCCCCGGCTTGGTGATAACGAATCAATGCCCATGGTGCTCGAGCTCTTGCGCGTCGAAAAAAATAACGGCCAACCGTGTCGCGAGGGCAGCGGAGAGCCGCGGGATTTTCTGCGAAAGCAGAAGTTGCTGGAATCATCCAGTACAAGAGCCTCCTTGCCTTGTCTGCACCCTCTGTGGTCTTCAGGCTGAATGAATCCTTGGGGGGCTTTCAGTTGCGCGCGCGCGCTGCCACCATCCTGGACCGCACTGCGTGAAAAATGGCGATGGCACCGTGGAGATGAGAGGAGACCCGAAGCACCGCGAGGGCGGCAAGGGATAAGGAAAATACCAGTGGCACACAGAAAGGGCCAGCGCCAAGGCAGCAGCCGCGGCCGCGGCGACGGGAGGGGGCGGCAAAGGCGGAGGAGGAGGGCGCACCCCCCCCCCCCTCCCGCCAGCCACGTGCAGCGGGCAACTACGAGGAGTTCGACCTCAGAGTATGCATCAACGGACTCCAGCGGCTGGCCCTCCGCTCGGCAGCAGAGATCAGAGATATGAGCCACGTGACCTCGGACTTCTTCCTCGTGCGAGTAAGCCATAGGTGCGTCGGGGTTAGATGGCAGCGGGGCAGAACTACGGGGGCCAGGACGGGGAGAAGGACAAGGGGCACAAGATGGAGCCACCAAGCATCCACGCGGGGGTGGCGCTCACGGAAGGTATCCAGGACTTGGCGTCGCAATGGCAGAAAGAAATCAACCAGCAGTACCAGCGTCAAAAGATCAAGCATTGGACGCCCGGAACGTCTTCCTGAAGCTGATGAACTGATGGAGGAGAACAGCGAGCACAGCCAGGCCATGATCACAGAAACGACCAAGATGTGCAACGTCAGATGGAGCTACAAGGCGCGCAACAGCAAAAACAGGAACCCGAAGGAGGACGAGCAGGAATTTTGGGGCGAGTGCTCAGGCAATATCCTGATCGGCATCAACGAATCCTCCATCTTCAGAGCGCTGCCCCGACGGACATGAAGGAAGAACCCGTGGCGAAGCTGGACCAGTTCGCGGGCCGCGACCTGAGAATGGCGATGGGGTTGCTGATCGTCAGCGGGAGGCAAGAAATCCCAGTCGGCAGCGCCCAAGTCGGAGCCGGAGAGGATGGCAAAGCGTCAGCGTCAGCGTCGGCGCCGCTGAGGACGGAGGGGGCGGTGGCATCGGCGAGGTTTTCTCGGAGCGCTGCGCCGCCGCGGACAGCACGGGCCACATGCATTAACGAGGTTGTCTCGGAGTGCAAAGACCCCGGGACAGAGTGCCGGGCCGCGGCCGACGGAGACTAGCACTTCCACTGCACCCCCGTCGGCGTCAGCATCAAGCAACGAGGGCGCCGCCCCAGCCCCTCCCCCCCACCCCAGGGCAGTTGGGGATAGCTGGCGCGCCCAACAGCGCGCAGACGAAGAGGAAGAGACACCCAGGTGCGCAGCGTTGCGCACTAGCGGGGTTTCTCGGAGCGCGCAACGCGGGGGGGCCGCCCATGGCCTTCGCGGGCAGCAGCCAGCCATGGCCCTGCGGGCGCTGCAACAAGGGGCCCCAGTACTACAAGATGATCGAGAGCCACGAGGAGCACGCGCGAGATGAGCCAGGCCATGAAAATAGATCAAGGAGGCAAGGGCAGCGAACGGAAGAAAGTGCGCATCGACTGCGAGATGGAGCTGCATGGAGGAGGGGTGGGAAGAATGGAGCAACGAAGAGAAGACGCTGCACGGAGGAGAAGTATACCTCGAGAGGGCAGGGTCAACGGGAGCCGCGTGGGCAGCCCTGGCCGCGGGACAGATGCAGGCAGCACGAGCACTCCTGGCCGAGGAAGAAGACCCACGTAAAACGTCTTGCACACTAAGGGACAGGTTCGCCATAGGGGAGTCAAAGGAGAAGGCGATGGCGCTGCTGGAGGGCAGCATAACGAATGGAAGCGTAGTTGCTGACCAGAGCGAGGCAGGAGACAGCATGACAGAGGCTCTGCGCTGCGCAAGCAGGAATGCGACATCCTGCTCAACAAGTACATGGCCATGGACACCGATGGCGAAAATGCACTGAAGGCGGCACAACAAGAGTTGGAGGAAAAAGAGAAAGAGCTGCACGAGCTGGGCGACTACAAGACGGCAAAGAACATGGGGGCAAAACAATCGGCGTACCTCAAGGCGCTGGACTTCGTGAACAAGTGGAGCGACAACCTGCAGCTGTTCAACGCATGCAGGAGGGGTGCAGGATGGGGCGAAAAGAGGGGCGGAGCCCGCTCGTGCGGGCTTGCTGTCCCAAACAAGTCGTGGCGGAGAGGCCCCAGACCCACCTCGAGAGGGGACAAGTGGCAGTTATGGTGCAAGATGCGCTGGTTGCCGCTCATCAAGGCGCAGGAGAACCACCCAGAAGCTGTGCTTATGAAAGAGTTGGGTTGACAAGACGAAAGAAACGTCCGGCGACGACTGCGAGGGGTGGCCAAAGATCGGGCGCGGGTCGAAGTTCCTCCCGTAGAAGAGTGGGCCGCCAATGGTGGCGGAGCCCAAAGTGGGAAATAACTGGGAAGCGCTCGTAGCAGAAAGGCTGCCGCAGCAACTAGACGACGCCATCAAAGAGCGCCGCTGCCAGCTCGTCGAGCCGCCCAGAAGATGAGCCCAGAGGAGTTGTTCGAGCTGATCCCCGCGTCCTTCCCGATGACGCACAAGGTCAAATGTTGCGACCCCATCGCAAGGTACCCTGTGGACGCGTGGAAAAGGGCATGGAGGAAGGCCTTTACTGTACGGAGCTGGTGCGAGCTGGCGCTGATGATATCAAAGAAAGACGGCGATAACCTCCACAAAATCATGAAGGTCGCCTTGAATAAGCTGAGCAATGGGGCAGTTTCGACCCAGAGGAAGTGGATCGGCTCAAGCGGCGCCAGAAGCTACGAGACAGCACGCAGACTTTGCTGGATGGCACCGAGGTCTTCGAAGCAAAATTCGGCTACCCCAAGTCGGAGGAGACGACTGCGGCCAGCTCCTTCAGCGGCCACCAGTGAGTGCACCCAGTGGAGCCTACTGGAATGCCATGAGAAACATTAGCGAGGTTTTCTCGGAGTGATACTCTGGGCAAGCTGGACAAGCCCACAGCAGCCAAGAGATGCATGAGCGAGGTATTTTCGGAATGCAACTCGGGGCAGGTAGTATGGGCATCACGGAGTGCTCGCACTGTCATCGCAATGAGAAGTATGTCTTGGAGCGCGGACAGGTACATGACTGCAGGGTGTCGAAGGGGAAAGAAGAGATCATCACGAAAAACACCAGAATGTTTCCTCGATGGCCCCACCTACTATATACCGTGTTACCAAAATGCTCTACCCCACATACACTTCGAGGGGGATCGGTGGGACACTACAACTGTGTATCAGAATACAGATGCGACAGTGCATGGGGCAGTACAGTAAGCAGTCCCCCCAGCAACAGTTTGGGGACACGGGCCGCCTGACCCTCCCCCCTCTTCTCCTCTTGAGTGGTCGTGTCGTCGTCTCCTCCCCCCTGGGTCGGGCGCATTGCTAAGCCCGCGCGTCCATTACCCTATGGCACGCGGAAGGGCCGGCAACCGCCCCCCCCCCCCCGCACTGACCCGCAGGGACTCGTGAACGTCAGGTAGCGGGCCTCTCTTACGGGGCCACGTCGGAGCCCAATCCTTGCCTTGAGCAACGTGGTATGCCCCGTCCCCGCCCTAGCGAGAAGGCAGGGCTGCTGCACAATCAGTGGCACGGGATTTTGGCAGAAGTGCACAAGACACCAGCGTAGGTTTTTGACGTTGCACCCGCTTATGCGGATGTCCTTGTCCTCTCCTCCCCTCCTCCTCCTCCTCCTCCTCCTCCTCCTCCTCCTCCTCCTCCATCAAGCAGGGGCTCCCGAAGGGCCTCCGGGAAGGAGGGAGAACAAGGGGAGGCGGCACGGATGGAGGTGGACCAGAACCAGGGAGAGGAAAGAGGTGGAGTACTTGTAGTTCCTTCGGCGAGCGTCCTATCCTGGTCAGCAAAAGGTCAAAAGGTGGGAACACTACTGATCGGAGGTTGGCGCCATCGCGCGTCCTCTGCCGTCTCCCCTTGGATCAGGCTGATCGATTGAAACATATGACTGCTTGCCTCGGGAGGCTCGCTCTAATCCCTCCCCGAGGAGGGCGCGGGGAAAAAGACGGGGGGGGATATGAAGGCAATGAGGACGAGGACGAGGACAAGGGAACGCGGGTGAGAACCATGAGTGGAGGAGGACCGGGAATGACAGGAAGAGGAGGGGGATAAGAGGAGAAGGAGGAAGAAGAAGAGGAGCAGGATAGGGGAAAGGGCCCATGAGGGAGGGGAGCAAGAGAGAAGGAGGGGAGGAGGGACAGGAGAACGAGGAGGAAAAGGGGAGGGAGGAACGAGGAGGAACGAGAGGAGCAAGAGGCGGAACGAGAGGAGGACGAGGATAAACGAGGAAGGCGACAGGGAGGAGGAGAAGTAGTAGGGGCAGGAGGATGGCGAAATGGGCTGGGGGGGACAGAGGATACAAAGAGGACGAGGACCAGAGAAGGGAGGCGGAGGAGGAGGAGCAAGCAAGCGAGCAGCCATCGCCAAGAGCCCCAGAGATAAATGCCAGAGGCCTCCAAGCAGAGTGCCCGAGGAGCGGCCGATGCTGTCTGCCGTCGCTCCGGTGGCCCAGCTCCGCCACGGCAGAAGGCTGGCCGCCGCACAAGCACGTCGGCCCCGCAACGGCCAGGCTGCCACCGCTCCGCCAGCCCAGCGTCTTCGCCGCGGCCGAGGGCCTTCCAGCATGTGAGCGGTTTCTTGTTCGGCGTTTCGACACTGGGCGGAAAGGGGGCGGGGAAAAGGGGGGGGGGTCTGGCTTCGGCACGCTGCTTGATGCGACTGTTTGCAACAGTGCGCCCTGTGGGGGAGACTTCGCCTGCCAAACAACAAAAAACGCCGGAAACAGCCAAGATCTACTCCATGGGGGGGGATGGAAGTAGGGGGGCGCGAAGGCCCGCGCCGATCGGCAAAACAACGTTTATTCGGCGCTTCGACATTGGGCAGAAGGGGGGGGGAAGGGGGGGGTCAGGCTCCGGAACGCTGCTGAATGTGACTGTTTGCAACAGTGCGCCCTGTGGGGGAGACTCCGACTGCCCGAAACAGGCGCCAAAAAACGGCCAAGACCTACTCCGTGAGGGGGATGGGGGGGGGAGGGCCCGCGCCGATCGGCAAAACAATGAATCACAAAACGATCACCATTGAGTCTTTGTTTGGCGGTCTCGTTGGGCCCAGTGACGGCCTCTGGAGGCTAAAAACTGCCAAACGCATCTCGGAGACGGCAATTCAAAATCAATCCCCGGGCCCGTCCCAGGTTCCAGACGCACCGATTTTCCGAGCTGCGTCCAACTGTGGCAACGGGGGTCCCCCCGAAGGCCAACCCCTGTCTCAACCAGCCCTCCTCTGCTTGAACAGGTGAGTTCGCCAGGAACCTTCAGGCCAAGACGACGTGTTCGACCCTGGAGGTGCACTGCCCCCATCGGAGGGCATCCCCAAACGTGCGCCTACAGTTCGGGGATGCCTCCCTGGGGCCGAGGTCTCGGCAGGAGGAGGTGGACGAGGTGAAGGAGGAAGAGGTGGAGGAGGAGGTGGTGGAGGAGGAAGTGAAGAATCAGGAACTGGAGGGAGCGACGAGTGCCAGAGGGCTACGGGCGGCGAACATATCATGTCCATATCGACGCCCTCGTGGTCTGGATTCTAGGGCGCGATCCAGTGGATATGCGGTCACGGGGCCCGCGAGGACGTAGATACGGACATGTCTTCCTTCCACGAAGACCTGGCGTGAGATCCATAGGTCAGTCGCGGCACCCCTCACATCAAATCGAACCTCTTTCGGGCGAAATGGAAGTTGAGGGAATTGTGTCGGTTTGTGCACAGGCGCGACGGCAAACCCAACACTCGCTCGGCTGCCTGTGCAGATACGGATGCTCCCGGCAACGCACCCCAAATGCAAGATGCTCAGAGGGTCCTGCGAAATCCCGGGGGGGTCCTGAGAGCCTGTTGGGAGGGTCCTGAGAGACTCCTGACTCCTGAGAGGGTCCTGAAAGGCTGTTGGGAGGGTCGTGATAGACTCCTGCTGTCATGGAGCCCTGTCGGGTCGTCTTTAGTCTCTCTTGGGCCATCTTGAAATCTTGTCGGTGTTTCCTGGGGGGACCTCGGGTCTGCTCGGCGGTCTCGGACGCCTGGAAGACCGAAGAAGCGGATGTCTCCAAATCATACAACAACCTTGTTGCAAAGCACTATGTTCCTGAAGGCCTCTTGGGGGTCATGGCTGCGGCATCTTAGGGCATGTGGGGGGTGTCTGGGTGGCCTGGGCCTTGCGCGGGACTTCGACTTCGTGGTAGATCTATAAACATATGAAAGTAATGACCCGATTAACGATGCAGAATAGCTATGCACCACTATGGCTGTAGACCTCGTCTCTCTCTCTCTCTCTCGTTCTGCAGGCCAGAGCCATCCGTCATGCATACACCATCTACGATCAATACAAGACGACGCTGGCGACGAACAATAGCACAACGCAGCCGACAACAACGGAAACAGCGACGACAATGACGACTACGACAGCACGACGACGACGCTCACGACGACGACGACGACGACAACGACGACGAAGACGACGACGACGGTGGGCGTCACCCTAACGGGCTGGTTGTGCTGGCAGCACCTTAACGGGCACTTCGTGCTAGCGGACCCCCACGGGCGGGTCAGGTGACAAGGATATGAAAGTGGGCGGCCAAGCCTTCAAGCAGTCCGGCGGACAAGCCTCTGCCGGGCGGGTCGGGCGGGCAAAACACGAATGTGGGCGGGCGGGCTTCCAAACACTGCAGACCTAACGGGTGGGTCGGACGGGAGGGGCCCTACCGGGCGAGTCGGGCGGGCGGGACAGTAAGGCGGACGTGAGTGCGTTCAAGCAATCTAGCCGCGACGACAACACAACGACAGCGAAGACAACAGAAACGACTACGAAGACGCAAACCGCGCCTCGCCCCGACGCGGGCCAGACCCGCCCCGACAGTTCGAGCAGGCGACCGGCACAACGACGGCGACTGCGACGCACGGCGACGACCATGTCGACGACGAGGATAACAACGACGAACACCGCAGCGACGATACACAACGACGGCGACCAACACGATGACGCCACAATAGACCACTACGGAAGCGACCAAAACGAGGCAAATAACGACGTGGACGACCACCACCATGACGACCAAGACCAACAAGAAGATCACGACGATCAACACGACGACGACTACGACCCCTCTGAATACAACCAAGACAAACACGGCAATGAAACAAATCACGACGACTGCGATTACTCTGACGCTGCAAGAAAAAGGACGACGGCGACCACGAGGACGACTAACACGACGACCACAACGATCAGCACAACGACATCGACTACGACGACGAACAAGACCATCTCCGGTAACTGGTTAACAATAACTCTATACTTCGCGCGCGCGGAGCGGCCCCTGGGGGTCCCCGGCCGGAAAGTACCCCGGGAAGGTCCCAGGACACTCCTGGCAAACTCAGTTCAGAGATGGTGTTCCTCCTGGGTGCGGCCTTCCACGCTCCCCGGAGCGCGCCAAGAGGGCCCCAACAGGCTTCCAAGACGGACCAAGAGGGTTCCGAATCACCGAACGATCGGCCCAAGACGCCCAACACGGCCTCAAGACGGCCCAAGAAGCTTCCAAGACGTCCCAAGAGAGCCCCGACCCTTTCCAAGAGAGCCCCAAGAGGCCAAAATCATTGATTTCCATTTGGTTTTTCCAAGGTTTTTGGCTTCCTCGCCTTTTCGCGTTTCCGACGCTCCAAGACGGCCCAAGAAGCCTCCAAGACCACCCCAAGACGCCCCAAGAGGCCTCCAAGAGAGCCCCAAGACCGCCCAAGAGGGTCCCACGACAGCCCAAGAGGCTCCCAAGACGGTCCAAAAGGACCCCAAGAGGGCCCCAAGAGGGACCCAACATGGAGACCACGAACCGAGAATCCGAGCCTTCCGCTCCAAGTGGCCTCCTGGAGGCTCCAAGAGGCCCCTTAGAGGCCCCAAAAGGCGACAAGGGGCCCGAAAGAGACCCCAGAGGCTCGACAACGACTCCCGAGTCTCCAAGAAGCCCTCGAGAGGCATCCAACGAGATCCCAATGAACGTCCACGAAGCCTCAGAGCGCCAAAACCATTGATTTCCATTTGGTTTTTCCAAGGTTTTTGGCTTCCTCGCCTTTTCGCCTTTCCGACGCTCCAAGACGGCCCAAGAAGCTTCCAAGACGACCCCAAGACGGCCCAAGAGGCCTCCAAGAGAGGCACACGACCGTCCAAGAGAGCCCCACGACAGCCCAAGAGGTGCCCAAGACGGCCCAAAAGGACCCCAAGAGGGTCCCAAGAGGGGCCCAACATGGAGACCACGAACCGAGAATCCGAGCCTCCCGCTCCAAGAGGCCTCCTGGACGCCCCAAGAGGCTCCTAAGAGGCCCCAACAAGCGACAAGGGGCCAAGTTGTCGTGTTCCCTGCGATCGTATTCACGAGCCGCCACCTTTCGAAACAGAAGGTTCAGGCTGGCAGAGAATGGTTCCCGCCTGCGAAATCACCCAAAGCCAGCCATCCATAAACAGAAAGACGACCCAGCAGCACCCCATTGACAACGATCACACAGGCACTCGACAACCGTGCACCAATACGGGCCGGCGGAATGAGCGAAGCGATTAACTAAAGACGACCGCGACGACGCAAACAACGACGACACGACGACACCGCACGACAACAACCAACACGACAAGGATGGACATAGAATACGTCGATGCGCGACGACGACAAGTAAGACACCAAACTAAACTACGACAACGGTCACGACGCACATAACGACGACATCAGCGACAAGGACTACCAAAACCAACACCACGATCAAAACAGGGACGACGACATCGACAACGATGAGCACGACATCATCGACAACGACGACGCAAACGACGACGACGAAGAGGACGACGACGGACGACGACGAACGCGACGACGACGGTACCGACGACGTCGAGATTCCTCTTCACGTGGCAACGCTGAGAACCGCCCAGATGAGGAGGAGGAGGAGGAGGAGGAGGAAGCGAAGGAGGAGGAGGAGGAGGAGGAGGAAGATGATGATGATGATGATGAGGAGGAGGTGGAGGAGGAGGAGGAGGAATCGAAGCAGATGGGGTCGGAAAATCACGCCGCATCGCCGATGCATCGGCAGCGTGTGGGCGACGTCGGGATTGGGACAATCGAGCTCCGGACTCCGGATCGCGCCGCACGGCCTACAAATCCGCGGTGCAGATGCGGCGCGGCGCCATTCTCCGAACCCATCCGCTCGGACCCAGCTTGCGCGGCCACGAAACAGAAGAATGGGCGGAAGCATGTACTCCAGATTTCGTAATAAAAGGGAGGGGGTCTGGACCCTCCAAGACAAGCCATTTCAGACCCCCCCCGTGGGAGAACCCTCCAAAACATCGTCCCCAAACCCCCCAAGGCCCTCCAAGATAGCCGGGAAGAGACCCCCCCCCGAATTGAGACCCCCCTCCCTTTATTACGAAATCTGGAGTACTACTCTGCTCTACTCGCCACGCGAAAACGCAGCGGAGTGGGCCGAGCCGAATTCTACTCAACAAAATGCTGAGAAAAACGAGGTGAGCGGAACAAATAATATTCGATTCGTTCCGTGGCAAGGCAAAGAGG